CTGCACCAATTAGAGGCCGACGAACAGTGGTAGAAACCAGAATAATAAAGAACTGGATAACATACGCATCCACACAATAACAAGAGTGTGGATGCATACGCATTGATTGAATGGGGCAAGATTTTTAAAATAAAGCAAAATATTTCAAAAGTATGAAGTTTAGAAAACTTCTGAATAGAAGCATGAATGTCCTTGACGAGCTGAACATTTTAATACTTGAAATAGCTGAAAGTATGCAGAAGTAAAAAATTTCCCCATTCATTTGAATGGGGCAAGATTTTCAAAATAAAGCTAAATATTTCAAAAGTATGAAGGTTTAGAAAACTTTTGAACTGAAGCATGAATGTTCTTGAAGAGCTGAACATTCTGATAGCTGAAAGTATGCAGAAGTAAAAAATTTCCCCATTCATTTGAATGGGGCAAAATTTTCAAAATAAAGCAAAAATATTTCTAAACTATGAAGTTTACAAAAGTTCTGAATAGAAGCATGAATGTCCTTGAAGAGCTTAACATTTTTATAGCTGAAATTATGCAGAAGTAGAATTTTCCCATTCCTTTGAATGGAGCAAGATTTTCAAAATAAAGCTAAATATTTCAAGAGTATGAAGTTTAGAAAACATCTGAAGAGAAACACGAATGTCTTTGACGAAGTGAACATTTTGATAGGTGAAGTAGAATTTTCCCATTCATTTGAATGGGGCAAGATTTTCAAAATAAAGCTAAATATTTCAAGAGTATGAAGTTTAGAAAACATCTGAAGAGAAACACGAATGTCTTTGACGAAGTGAACATTTTGATAGGTGAAGTAGAATTTTCCCATTCATTTGAATGGGGCAAGATTTTCAAAATAAAGCTAAATATTTCAAAAGTATGAAGTTTAGAAAAATTTTGAAGAGAAGCATGAATGTCCTTGAAGAGCTATACATTTTCATAGCTGAAATAGCTGAAAGTGTGCTGAAGAATTTTCCGATTTGTTTGAATGGGCAAAATTTTGCTGAAAGACACTAAATAGTTTAAAAAGTATAAAGGTTAGAAACAAGAAAATTAATAGCATAAATGTCCTTAAAAAGCTGAACATGTTAATACCTACGGTTTTCATAGCTGAAAGTATGCTGAAAAAATCAAGTGCCAAAAAACGGACGGAAGAAACCAGAATAATAATAACAATAATAAACACCAGGATAACATAGTATGGATGCTGACTCAGCATCCATACAATAATAAAAACCAGGAAAAAAGATGCTGATTCAGCATCCATACTATGTTATCCTGGTCTTTATTGTATGGATGCTGAATCAGCATCCATACTATGTTATCCTGGTCTTCATTATTATTATTATTATTGTATGGATGATGATTCAGCATCCATACCCTGTGCAATGAATAATGTGTCGAGAGTAATGTAGATATACAACGTATCAGTGTTAGATTTTGTCTAAAAGAACAGCCTAATCAAAGCTGACACATTTCAAGTAATTCTGTATTGTGACATTTGTGATTAGGGAATTGAGTTAGTCCAGAATAAGTGTTATATATGATGCATTTATTCCGGTTCTTACCAACAATCCCAGTATGAACACGCTGGATTTTGAAAGCTGTAAAGCTTTACTGATAAATTCTCATGTTAATAATTTATAAAGTGTACTTATACAGTATTACACTGATGTAACAGCACTGATTTAGAGTAAAGAACAAAACCATGTAATGACTTGGGCCTTTTAAATGTGCCACAGCAGGAATAGCATAAAACATCTACAATATATGGATATGTCATATGACTTTCTAATTGTGTGAAATGCATGAAAACAATCACTTAATAATGTTTTTAGTTAATATAATTCACACACACACACACACACACACACACACACACACACAAAATGCTTCCAGTATCAAGTATATATGATTTAATAAACAGATGGTACAAGCATGGATACAAGCCAAGTGAAAATAGATTCAGAGACAAATGACCTGACGTTTTTTTCTTTCTTCTAGGATATATTTTTGGAAATGACTAATCAAAAACCTCTTGGATGCCAATAAACACAAGAATACAATGGAAGGAGACGGGCTACTGAACGTCACTGCAAATACCAGTACGATGGATATCCACCCCGTCACACACAGCCTCTGGGAGGTGATCACCATTGCAACGGTATCAGCTATAGTCAGCCTCATCACCATTGTGGGGAATATGTTGGTTATGCTCTCTTTTAAAGTCAACAGTCAGCTAAAGACAGTGAATAATTACTACCTGCTGAGTCTGGCAGCTGCAGATCTCATCATAGGTGTTTTCTCCATGAATCTGTATACCTCTTATATCCTGATGGGCTACTGGGCCTTAGGAAACCTTGCCTGTGACCTGTGGTTGGCAGTGGACTATGTAGCCAGTAATGCCTCAGTGATGAATCTGTTGGTGATCAGTTTTGACAGATATTTCTCCATCACCAGGCCACTTACCTATAGGGCCAAACGGACTCCCAAGAGAGCTGGGATTATGATAGGTCTGGCCTGGCTGGTGTCGCTTATTCTGTGGGCTCCACCGATTCTCTGCTGGCAGTATTTTGTTGGGAAAAGGACCGTCTCTGAGAAGCAATGCCAGATCCAGTTTTTCTCTGAGCCTGTAATAACCTTTGGGACAGCAATTGCTGCCTTTTATATTCCTGTGTCAGTCATGACAATCCTATACTGTCGAATCTACAAGGAGACAGAGAAAAGGACCAAAGACCTGGCTGAGCTTCAGGAGATTAACTATCCAGCACACTCTGGGGTCACCCAACCACAGAAGACCATTATCAAATCCTGTTTTAGCTGTAAGCTAAAAACAGCTTCACATGACAGGAACCAAGCCTCCTGGTCATCCTCCAGCAGGAGCAATGCTACCAAATCAGCAGCCACCACAAACAATGAATGGTCCAAAGCTGGTCAGCTGACTACCTTCAACAGCTATGCCTCCTCTGAGGATGAGGACAGGCCTGTGTCTCCAGGAGGCTTCCAGCCGTCATTTGGGAACCAGGCTTGTGAGACCAGCAAGAGTGGAGTAGGCAGCGAAAGCAAGCAGATCAGCAGCTATGATGATGACAGCTTCTTCCAGACACCTCCAAAAAACAATTCTCAGAAGAGCAGCAGGTGTGTCTCCTATAAGTTCAAACCTGTGGCCAAAGACACTCATATGGAGTACCAGAGCAAAAATGGAGACACCAAACTGGCATCATCTGCATTTTCCTCAGCTGAGTCCATGAACGTTCCCTCCTTGACGCCTAGGACCATAGATGTGACACTGAAGAACCAGCTCACGAAGAGGAAGAGGATGGTGCTTATCAAGGAGAGGAAGGCAGCTCAGACTCTCAGTGCTATCTTGCTGGCCTTCATCCTAACATGGACACCTTATAACATCATGGTGCTGATTTCCACATTCTGCTCAGACTGCATACCCCTCTCCCTCTGGCATCTGGGCTACTGGCTTTGTTATGTCAACAGCACTGTCAATCCTATGTGCTACGCCCTTTGCAACAAGACTTTTCAAAAGACCTTCCGCATGCTCTTATTCTGCCAGTGGAAGAAGAAAAGAATTGAGGAGAAACTGTACTGGTATGGGCAAAACCCTGTGGTTAGTTCCAAAGTGACATGAACTTTTTAAAGATGGTGTATGATGATGGCTGTAAATCATACAGTATGTTTGTACTGATAATCTGATAATTTTGGCTTTATGAACTTTAATTAGGTGACATGAAGAGCAAAATACTATGTAAAGGAGATGATACAATTTGTAGTGTTGCTAATTAATCAGTACATTTGTTATAGCGTATGATCATCACAGCTCAAACTATGGAATTGGAGGAGCATTGTCCCCATATAATCAGTGATGGTGTATATAGGTTCTAAAACATATCAGTATTTGCCCCCAAATCGATGCCCTTATGCACAAAATGCCTTTGATTAACACACCGATTATTTAATATTCTATGGCTTTTGTACTCTGCATGTACAGTTTAGTATCTGGAGGCCACAATACAATTGATCCATTGTACAATTTGACACTGTTATTGGTTCAAACATTGCCACGGTTCAGCTGAAGTTGATGCTTTACACCCAAAATAACATAATACACACAAAAACAATTAGTTCTATAGGTATTGTGTTTGTATTGAGGATGACCATTTTAGAATTGCTATCTTATTTTAAAGGGCTAATAAGTGTTGTCCTAATTTCAGTCTGCTTGCTAAGGTCAAGATTGTAACTTGGTGATCAAGCAAAGCCTTTTCACATTGTCAGTTGTCTGCCAAGTAAATGTAGACTCATCACCGTTGTTTTCAGATGACATGTTCAGCATTTTCTGTCCAGCAAAATCTCAGTGGAAATAAATGAACAAATCATCCTAGATTGAACCCTACTGGTCAATGGATCAAATACAGACCAAAAAGCTTTAATCCTTTTTTACTGAAAGTATATGACACACTTGACAGTGTTTAAATAGAGAATGGTATAGAGGATTTATGAGCACACTTTGTTTATTATAATATGTATGTTTCTCTTGATCCTCAGGAGCTTTGTTTTCTCTGAATTGCTGTAGCTAACTTAATGTCATCATATCTTTATTGTATTTCTGGCAAATGTGTAATGTACTGTTCCAAAAAAAGATGCTGCTTGTTCATTATATGTTGATTTCTGTAAGCACTGGATGGAATATGGCATGTCATGAGCTAAATGTCATGAAACACTTTTTTGTAACTGTGATAAATGAGAAGTCTACACTTGCAATTTGGAGTATGAAAGAGGTGCTTTGCTTAACAGTACTTTGGCATGATGTACGATAGAAACAAAATCACATCCAATTGGTACTGAATTTTTTACACTGTTTCAAGTTTGTGTTCATAATGTTATTGCTCTTTTCAGTGTTTTGTGATCATGCTTGTGCATTACTGAATAAAATGTGGTGAATTCAATGTCTAGTATAATAACTACTAAGAGAAAATCACTAATGTCGCTGCTAATAGTATCTTGTATCACAGATGCTTAAATTGTATCATTATAGCTCATCCTTCTTGAAGTCTTCACTGTGAAGCAGTTTAACTGTGTCTGAAGGTCTCACCATCATCCATGCATACTTGCACAGTCGCTCCTTGTTGCAGTCCTTTTGCCAGTAGATGACATTTCTGCGATTTAAATTGGCACCAGCACAGGCGTCATACCACCAGCCTCCTCCTGGTACCCCCTGAAACTCCAGTTTGGCACAGTTCTGGAAGTAGTTGTCATTGTCTCTGTCTTTAGTGGTGAATCTTTGGTTATCGTGGAGGTAGTTCTCCGTGTCCAGAGTTAAAGCATCTACAGCAGTGCCCTGAAACAACCCCAGCCTCAGCCTGTATGCTGATGGTTCGCCCTCCACTAGAAAGGGGTCGTACTCTCCCGTCTTGGTGATGGCGTCTTGGTCCACTAATTTTACTCCCAGTTTATAGCGCCCAGGGCCACGGGTGAGCTGATGCAGGTATTCATTCCCAATCCAGTGATCCCCGGTGACAACCCCAAAGCCATGCTTGTACTCAGCCCAGGTACGATCAAAATTCACACTGCTGTTGACGGTAATATGTTGCACCACAGTCCATCCTCCGTTCTGCATGTCACAGTAGACCACAATAGGGGATTCATCAGGTTGGATCAGGTACACCCCGTCTCTGGCCCGACCCGAAGAGGTCATCAACATTTCATAGCAGTCTCTGGGCAGCACTGTTGGACAACATATCAGTCAAAAGTGTGAGCTTGTGAAGGATAGTTACACTCACTTCTCAGCCTGCCTCTATAAACAACAAAGATGCTGAAGAGAGTTAGTGAGTAAAACAAGAGTGCAGTAGGGGAGGTGGTTCTTAGATCAGATTAGTATCCATTTGAATTTTAAAGTGATGCTGACTTTACTGTGGCATCACTTCAGCCACCCTGCCATCACTGACTGGGACGAGCCAGACTGGTGGGTGTAGAGAAAACTTCAACTAATACATTTCATTGTAGACATGATATAACTATCAACTAAACAAACACATATCAACAAATACAATGGTAAATAGTTCCACTGAAATTCAATAGTAGATTAGTGAAGAACAATACTATGTTGTTTAAATATGAACCTATAATCAGGAGACGGTTAGCTTAGCACAAGGACAGGAAGCAGTGGAAAACAGCCTGATTCTGTCCAAAGTTAATCAAATCCATCATTGTCCCTAACCAACACATGAAATCTTGTTTATTTAATCTGTAGGCAATAGTGAAAAAATGACAAACTGTAGTTTGTCAGAGTGTTACTTGACCAAGTACAATAAATTTCATCCTATCCTTGCATCTACCTATCATGTTGGATGAAATGTTAACATGTTAACTAGTGCACCTTAGAGGTGTTGGCAGGCAGATTGTGTTACATTTAGACAAAGCCTAACCGTTTCCCTCTGTTTCCAGTGATTATGCTAAGATAAACTACTGTAACCAATCAATCTGTTCCTTCAGAACTACTCTGTGTACAATTTGAAGCTGTCCACCTTTGGTGCCTCTAGTGGTAGTGTAAAAACAGTGGTAAACAGCAACACGCATGTCAGGAATGTGTTATTACATCCACGTCAACACTGTTTCTCAATTTCTTCCAGATAATCTGGTGAAACCGTGATCAACTGCCAAACTTTTACAACTGTTTGTCTATCAAACCATCTTACACAAATCACCTCACGGACATAGCACTTATCATTAATGAGTCACTAAATCTGGGTCTACAGCTTGAAATTGGACCCACATCCACAAAATTTTCACAGATAATAGGTGATAAAGGTAATTCAGCATTTAAAAGTAATCACAGGGGTGTTTCACACAAAGCACACACTGTACTGGCCTCTTTCATTGTTAGGAAAGTTACATGCAAAGTACAGCATTGAGATAGCAAAAAAAAAAAGTCAAACTGAAAATGAAAGTCTACACAAGCAAATATACCTCTCATTCCATGGTTAAGGATAAAGTTATGCTCATCTGGAAGAAGAAGATTCAGGTTCTCAGCTTGGAGATGTTCCATGTTAACACCACCCACACTGTGCAGCAGTAGGGCCACTGCTGGCAGCCAGCTTCTCACACACGCCATCCTTTACTTTACTGCTGTCAAACCAACAGTGGCCACTTAATGACACAGTACTTTTTAATAGAATTCAGTGAACTTAATGAGGAACACACAACAAAACTTTACCAAAGAAAAAAACTGAAGTGTCTTGAACAGCAGTGTGCTTACCTTCAGCGATGACCCCTGTATGTTCTTTGCGCCTGAGCCTTCCCCCACGCTCCTACAATAGCTAAATAAAAAGCACAAGAATTCAAACACGTCTGTCCACTGCTGAGTTCAGATTCTGAGTTCACACAGCCTCTCCTGCCCAGTCGCAGCTGGACTTCAGCCTCAAAGCTAAATGTCACATCACAATGGCAGACACCAACCCTCCACTTATCTGTGTGAAATGAAATAAACCAACATGTAAGAAGAGAGATATGAGCCATGTATACCCATGTCTCTGCCTTACTTAAATCACTGAGAGACTGAATGAGGCTGAAGTCCAAATGAGACTGAACCATAGCAATTACACTGAAATCTGCTGCTGGTGAGCTGCTGTACTAAAACAACACACACTACTGAGTTAAAGTACAGTATCTACAGTTCAACAAAGGGCATGCATTTTGAGTTTTAATTAATTAACAGAAACAGTCAGTAGTGTCACTTTCAACAAAAGAAGGTACTGTCAATACAGAAAAATATTATAATACCAATCATAAGCTTTAAAATAAAAACTTTATTCAGGCACTGGTGTAATTAAATTAAATACAAATTCAGCATGTCAATGAAACTGAATTTCTACTGTACATTAATTCTTACAGTTGAAATACCTCCAGAGTTCTGTCACTGGATAACAATAAAATTCACAGCAAAAGTATTTTAACTGTTGAAGCTGCTCTCCAAATTGATTACGTCAGTCTCTACAGATGAGTACAGTCCACCAGACAAAGCAGCTACTCTCTAAGGCTTCTACTAAATTTTCAGGAGCCTGTTAGCAAGAAAAGGTCAGTTATGTGGTTCTTCACTGCTGTCATGTAAAATGAGACAGAAAACAATGACCTGAGGAAGGAAAAGATGATATGTTTAGCACAGCATAAGAACATTCAAAGTAAACAATTATAGTAGCAATCCTGTATTCAAACATACAGTACTGACCATTGCCATGTCTCCTGCAGCAAATTCAGTAAAGGTTCTCAATGCCTTAAGTCCAATAACTCCTGATTAAAGACTTCAAAATGTATGCAACAAATTTAAATAAAAACTTAATTGCAAAGGTTTGATCTACACATTGTGCCAAATATTGTAAACAGAGGAAAGTATTAATATATGTCTTGTATCAAGTTATGCTGTATGTGTTGAATATCTTTTTCAAATATTTTAAATATATATCATAAAACAACACTTACTTATCCAGTACAGGTTTAGCTGATCCGTCATAGCCACTTGCTCTTAGCTCCTCCCCACAGTTTTTCAAAACTGAATTTATCCACTTTAAACCAACTACAAGCATGTAAGCATAAAAGAAGACAATCTTAATTTATTTGTATTTTGGTAGTTATCCAGTTACTGTAATACTGTCTGTTCTTCTTTGTGCATTATGTTTTATTCTGTAATGATTCTGTTAAACTGCAGTCACAGCGCTGTTTCTTCCAGCAGGGATACTCACTCTTCATATAGATTGGTGAGGACTTCCTTAACTAAAGAGAGGAGGTCAACACAACAGTCAGTGGTAATCCTGGGAGAGCTCTCATCTATGCTGCAGGGAAAATTAAAGTCACATTTACTCCACTTGTAGTCAGTGGAACTCACATTTTTGTAAAATGCAAGTCACTTACCTTTTGCTTATCACAGGAAGAAAATCAACAAACACACCAGTGTCTTGGATTCTGCATTAAGACAGCACTGAAACAACATTTTAAAATTCTAGTGAACAATATAGTGCGTCACATTTTTTATGACCAATTACAAACTAAAGTACCTCAGAAAGTACAGTATGTCATCAGTTATCCAATGTTTCTCTGCCACAATGTTCAAGCCACTTTAAGTTTCAGATTTCTTCTAAAGATTACATGGGTTATTGTGCTCTTGTGATCTTTTGTGAGCTAAAAAACATTGTTCTGTTAGTATGTTAGGTTCTGTTAGGAACAGAAGCAATCTGAGCTATGATGATATTTCTGACCTCAGTGAGTGTACAGCAGTCAGTCTGCTTGGAACTAGTTCTACCAGTCTCATGGTTATTATTTTCATTTAGTGGGAACTCCCTGGGGTCCATGTCAAATATATCCTTTTGCATATCTTGCATGCAGTTAATCTTGTTCTTCTTGTTTGCACGATCATAGCTCTTCCCAGATATGAGCAGCTTTTTTCGAGCCACTGTCAGATGATTGGTCTTCCTCTTACAAAACACTGCCTGCTTCATTCTACCTGGGTGACTTCCTGAATACCTGGGTAGAGTGAAATGTTCCACGGCAACCGTGGTGCGGTGGGTAGAGCAGTCATCTCCCAACCACAAGGTTGGAGGTTTGAGTCTCGGTGCTGGCAGTCCACGTGTCGAAGTGTCCTTGGGCAAGACACTGAACTTAAAGCCATTGGTTGAGTTGGTGCCGCAGATGGCTGCCATCGGTTCTGTGTCAGAAACAAATTCCTTGTGTGTGTAACATACTTGGCCATATAATTCATTCTTCTTCTTCAAAAGAAGGAAAAGGTGGAAATCAAAACATATAATGTATTTATTCAAATGTAACCACAAAAACATCCATGCATGACTTATCTCTATATATTGAATTCATCATTTTTATCATAATCGACTTGCATATAAGAATAAATAGCACACTTACATGCAGAAAAAAAGATACACTTAGTAGTACACTTTACCCAGCTCATTTGTTTTGTGTTTTTTCCATGCTATACCTCACTCTTTACTTGAGCTATATTATGCTGAGGGGCAAGTTCAAGATTTTCATATTCTCTGCCCTCACTGTTGGAGTCCATCAGACCTAAAGATAGAAAGGGAAATTACTGATTTTTATACATAATTATATACAGAGTTATCTTTGTGGTCAGATCAATACAATAAGTTACCCACAATATGGTTTATGTCTCTATAACTCTTATCCACAGCATTCTTCTAGGATAATGTCTTTAGGTGAAAAAACACCATTAAACCAGTATAGCAAGGGAACAGACTTTATAGGGACTACAATCAATAAAAGAATAAAGTTTTCGTTGACCAGCGTTGAGCTGGGCTACACAGGTGAAAACACAATTTCCCAAAATCCAAGAGGGCATTGTTTGTCTTCTGCACAATGACGTATGAGGAAACGGTCCTGCACGAAACAGCTGATTTGTGTTGTGAGTGTTTTATGTTACTATTCAAACATTTAGTTGACTTATCAGGGTGGGACATTGTTTGTGCTTTTGGTAAACTCTATTCAATGCCTTACTGTAAGTGTAATTCATAGACAAAATAATCAGCTTTTTATTGTGCGTAACGTTATAACGTACTATAGCGTGGCTGTTAATAAAAAGTAATCGAGCCAGCTAGCTAACAGCTAATACCGCAGCTAATTATCGCGGTTTAAGGTTACAACCAATGGTCTAAGAAGTAAGTTAATAACAGCAACTACACTAATACGGCACTGCGTTACAACACTGAACGTGAAATAATTAGCTGGCCTAAATGGTGTATCTGTCGTAGTCACCGCGTTTTCCTTTCCTCAACAGAGACAGTAGCCTATTTGATTTCCTTTGATTCCTTTAGACGGCTGCCAACTAGCTAACAGCCACTTTCAATAATACCGCCTAGTTGAAGAGAATAAAGCATCCTATTCATAATGCAGTTGATGCAGTGTGCACCCTCTAGCGACAACTGAAATACCTATGGAAAAGATTTTCTACTCCAAACAACACCTTAAAGCTGTGGTCTAGACTATTGGTTTTACTGCTCCCAGTCAGATGATCTAACAAACATTCTGTACTAGAGACGCCATCACCATAACTGATGACATCAGTGCTTTGACTCAAACCCCAAATCAGAACAAGTTGGGATGGGGTATGTAAAATCAAAATTAAAACTGAAAATAGTGATGTGTAAATCATCTGAGCCCTGTATTACATTGAAAACAATACAGCAGCACATTATTCTATGTGGTGCAGGACTTTTTTGGTTCTTCTTACCATTGCTAACTCTAAGAGACGAGACAGTCCAAGTAACTTCAAAACAGTGCTGATTTATTCAAAGGATCACAGGTAAAATTAACATTACACGCTCAGGTATCTTGCACCTCCAAACTGCTCGCAGGCAGATGTAAGATGAAAGACCCTGAACCCACCAGGCCTATACATTATATCCCCTCGGTTGGGCTAGCCCCATACTACACAGAAACGTCAACCGAGACGTCTCTGTTACCAGCTTTGCAGCTGGTCATA